GTGCTAAATTTTAGGTTGAAAATTTATATGAGAAATTTTGAGTGTCTATATATGTAGGAGTAATGATCTTAAATACTCTTTCCGTTCTTAAATATCTGTCGTTTCATATAATTTTTTTTTATTTCATAATATTTGTTGTTTAATAAAACTAAAGCATAATTAATATTTTTTCTTCTAAATTTATCCTTAACTTTTCAATGCATTAGATTAGGTGGATGCTAAGTGTCTTTCATATTCCTTTCTTTCCCAATACGTATTGAATAAGAGTATTTTAGTCTTTTTTTAATTATTTTTTTACTCATATTACAGTTATTAAATAGTTTCTTTAATCCATGTGCAAAAACCTTAAACAACGGATATTTAGAAATGAAGGAAATTATAACTTATTATCTATTTATTTTGAATAAATTCCTGTGGTTACTATTTATACTATCAAAATTGGTCGAAATAGTTTTCACCAGATCTGACTTCGAATCAATTGTTATATTTGTGATTAGTTATGAGTCTCTTACCAATAATTTTTTGGTCTAACGGTACCCTTTGTGTTATAAATGTTTTTTCTTATTAAGGTCAAAGATTCAAGTCTCCTTTCCTTTTCCCTTTCTCCTTCCCAAAAAAAAAATTAAAAAAAAAATAAAAAGTTATGAGCCTCTTGCAAGAGAATAAAAAAAAAAAATTATAACAACTCATGCATCAAATATAAAATTTTTTGACATGAAATTCATCGCGCATAATGTGTGTTGTTGGGTCTAACAAAAAAGAATAATTTTATGGTACAAAAAATTAGTGTTATTTTTATTAATTAAATTATAATTGTAGTGTCATAAATTTTTAAAAAATAAATTATGATTTTTATAATTAATCATAACATTTTAAAATTAATTATAACTATAGTTTATTTTTTAAAAATTATAATTTTTATCATCTGGCATTTTAAAATCCATCATAACTTTTCGTTGAAAAAAAAAACAAAATCGCAAGGACACCGCTTCCGGTCCTATACAATCTAATCTTATTTCATCATTTTCTGTACGGCTTCAATATACGGCTGGCGTGTATGATCATTCATGACGCCGTCGTTTCACCGCTTTTCCACGGTACTAGACTATTGCCCTGCCCGAACAAAAGTCAACGTTACTAATCAGCTAATCACATCAAGCGTACTGAATTAACAGAAATGACTAATTTTACTGCTGACAATTTTATTTTTTTTACCAAGTTTTCTATATAAACAATAACTGAAATAAAAATAATATTAAATTATAAATTAATCAAAAATTAAATAATTCAATTTATAATAAAAATGAGTAATGTCATAAGGATAAAATTTAAAATGTTATCTATGTTATTCGATATTTCATTCCATTTCTTTACTTTTTATTTATCAAATTATTACTTTTTTTATATTAAGAAATAAATTTGAAGTTATAGATAAAAAATTAAAATTGTGTATTCAAAATACGGTTTTTTTACTATAAAACACGTTTTGAATATACATTTTCAAAAATCCATCTTTACATTGAAAAAACGTATTTTTAAACCCTCCACAGTTGTATTGTCTTGCTTGGACAAAATAAGACTACATAAAAATCCAGTTTTGCTCATGAAACTAAAATAAAAGCTAATCTACTTACCTTTTAAACTTATCGTTATCCTAAGGAAACAAATCGTAATATTTTATAATCCAATAGATACAAATCCACTGGACAAAAAATAATCTTTTAAAAATTCCAATCCAATGCCGGAATGTGGTCCTGTTTTGAATTTATGTAATTGGTTTATAAATAAGTGTAAATTATACAGATAACCCATCTTTTTTTTAGTACCCTAAACAAAAAGACAATTTTAATTTTTGAAAAATACAAATAATTTCTTGAGTGGGTGGATTTGGTGGTGCTCTATCATGTTTATGATTGGTAGGGACTAGTAGGGACCATGGTGATTGATGAATTGGCCACTGATGATGGTGGTTGCAAGGGATTGGACAACGTCAATAGTGGAGAGTCTTTGTTAATAACGAATGAAGTTGACGTGATAATAAGAATCAATGGAAATTTAGATATTTTGGGTTTAAATTTTAATAATTTTTTAAAATTAAATTATTATAAATTTATTTCTTATGAATATTCTAGTCCTCACATAAATAATTTATTTTTAATTTAATCATAAAAAAAATTAATCGAAATACATGTAAATCAGCGTCGTTGATTCTATCGGATCAATGGTTAAAAGGTAATTTCCGTAGTTTTTGCTGTGGGCCTTAGAACACTTAGATAGATCTTCCTCCGTCTGCATAGAGTTTAAACTTTATAGTCCAGATACTGTGGGCCGACAGAATTCAAAAATTTAGAGCCCGTACCTGACTGTGGGTTGCTAATAATTAATCTAATGTTTTAGTAATTATATTCTTTTAATTTTTCTGTTTTTAGTGAAGTCCACTGCCTCTTTAGCGCGTGGGTTAGCGTATTATAGTATTCTAGCTCCTGCCCAAAATAGGAAATGACCCAACCCCTGATGTTTACATCAATTATTCAATCATCTCTTTATATTTTAATGTGAAGATGGTGCTTGTTTGGAATTTCAAAACTTTAAAAGTATGATTCCGCTCAAGATTTATTAAAAAAATAATACTTTAAAGTACCAACATCATACCATATATTTTGTTGGTACAAAAAGATCCTATCTTCGAATTAATTTCTCATTCTCTAATCAACATCATACCATATTACTTTAAAGCCTATTTTTATAATTTTTATGGGTCATTTTATAATCAAAAAATTTATTATTTTTATGGGTGATTTACTATTTTTATGGGTATTTTTACCATTAATGTGATCACTATTTGTATCACTTTTTTTCGATACAAAAAAAAATTATAGTTTTTGTGGGTAATTTACCACTTTTATGAGTTTTTTTTATCACTGTTGCAAGTGTTTTTATCATTATTTTATCACTTTTTTCAATACCACAATAATGATAAAAATATTTATAAATGTGATAAATACAATTATGATACCAAAATTTTATTTTTTGGTATCATAGGCAAATCATAATTATAATATAACTTAAGATGATGGGGATGCTATGTACCGTATGATCAATCAAATTAGTGGTACTTTTGTAGTAGAAGCTATGCCTATAGAACCCACAAGAGTAGTCCAGTAAAGTGAGATTAAACTTAGGGTAAATCGTAAATCTAAATGGAGTTAAATTCTCGTTAATAATTTCAAAATTAATCAATATATATAATATTTTTTGTTAATTAAAAAAAGTGGATAGGGGCAATCAAACATAACAACTACTCAGGACGTTACTTTGAAGTTCTCACGCGTGGTAGAATATTCGATTTGAATTATAGTTACTAATTTAGGATGGTTAAGTCTGTCACCATAACACCATCGAGAATAAATTGGACATTCAACTATTCTAGTAATATCTGATTTATAGGGACTACTATCGCAAACAAGTTTGAACCCATAACTAATCGAAGATGACAAGACTTTCGTCTTCTATTCAAAGTCAACTAAACAACCACTTGGAAGATAATTATTATATATAATTAATTAATAATTATAAATAATCAAAATTTACTCTATAAAATTAGTTTAAGTAATGTTATATAATTCAAATTTGTAACCCAAATTTACGTTCTAAATAAAAGAGACCATCAGATCAACAAGTCTCGTTAAAAAAATTGATAAACCTACTAATTAAATAATCCCTTCATTTCGGCTACAAATTTTGGTTACGGAGGATTTCCCAGTTAGTTCTGATGCTTGCTTTTGTCCAAGTGCTGAACGATAGTTACCAAAGTAAAATACTAAGCCCACGCGCATGAGGAATATGGAGATTAGAACTCTAATTACAATCAAAGCTAGATTATTGCCCCCAATTTAAGCAACCTGTACGGTTCATCAAGATCTCTCTGTCTGTCTCTCTCTCTCTCTCTCTCTCTCTCTCTCTCAAGGCTTGCCCTAATATTATTCCTCTTCTTGTCTGAAATTCTGAATTCTAGAACAACTTCGGCAATTCCTTTTCGCAGCTCCAAGCCTCCAAGCTCTCTCTCTCTCTAGACGGTGATAGACATTTTTGTCTCTATGATTGTGTGTATATCATCAAAAAAGCTTCTCTTGAGTAAGCATTTGAAAATTGTTTTAATGTTCTGATTATCTTCTGGCATTCACTTTGGAAATCGATGTTATTGAGCCAAAACACATTTCACCTAAAGCATTTATGTTTCTAGTTTTATTCATTCTGTCGTCTCTCTCTCTCTGCTCCGTTTACTTTCTGTAATTGTCTCACTTTCTTCGTCTATTGGATATGTCAAAACTCAGCAGCAGTGGCAAAACAGCGTTGAATTGAAGTATATGAAACTTACAAGCTAAGTCATCCTTAGTCTCTCTCTATTAGATTACTCAAGTCGGAAATATCTTCTTTCCGGGCGAATGGTTATTAAAAAATATAAGGCAGTTTAGAGAGAAAGGTGGAAATCTCTTTGTTGCTTGCGGAAACTCCAAGTATTGGGTTTGAATTTTGGTCCTCGATATTTGTTCATACGTTACATTCTATTTATATGCACAAACAAGCATTTGTACATAATTTCTCATTATTGTCCCTTGTTGGTTTCCTTCATTTATAACCATTCAATCCATTTGGTCAGTTTTTTTTGAAACCCTGTCTGAAAATTAAACCTTCCAGTCTCTGAAAATTTGGGGTGCATTTGATCTTGGGTTTCAGTTTGCAAATTGAACTGCATTTTAACTCAAAACGCACCTCTATGTTATGTTGTGCACATCATTAAGTCTCACTCTTCATGTTACATATCATAAAGGCGGTTTTGGTGCTGTTGTCAAAGCTCATCTCTTCCGTTCTCTTCTCTTCACATGATTAAGGGGTTTGGTTCGTTTATTCTTTATTCTTTTCAGCGTTGGTAGTTGATTCAGACAAGTGAGTTGTTTATTTCTGGTCCCATTTTTAGAGATATTTGATAACCAGCGTAAATGAGTATGAGGAAAAATGCTAATTTACACTCGGGAAGGGTATTTAATGATAGAAGGTGGATTATTCCGTTTTTTGCTAGTGTGGCTGTATGGATTACTCTGTTTACGACGGCCATTTTTTGGTTATATTCATCTTCATACGGTGGGGATCAAGTGCAATTTGACGTTATTTCATTCTCAAAATCAGAGGACTCTAGTGGATATTTTGTAGAATCAGATATAAAGGAATCAATGGGGAGTAATGAGGTTTCGAAGTTGGAACCACCTAGATTAGCTTATCTTATTTCGGGCACCAAGGGTGACAGTCAAAGAATGATGAGGACTTTGCAAGCTGTGTATCATCCAAGAAACCAGTATATTTTGCATATGGATCTTGAGGCTCCGCCACGTGAAAGGTTGAATTTGACAATGTCTGTGAAGATTGATCCAACATTTCAGGAAGTGCAAAATGTTCATGTAATGGGGCAATCCAATTTGGTGACATACAAAGGCCCTACCATGATTGCTTGTACCCTGCAAGCAATTGCAATTTTGTTGAAGGAGAGCCTGGATTGGGACTGGTTTATAAACCTCAGTGCTTCAGATTATCCGCTAATGACTCAAGACGGTCAGTGATACGCTCCCTTTCTGATTTGCTTTTACAATCACGATTTTGGTCATTATCATGTTTGTATGATCAACAGTTTTTTTTGTCCTTAATTGTATTGAAGTTACTTGTTTAGAGAAAAATAACATACTATATAGGAGCCTATTTTCCTTCTTCCTCGTCACTTTTTTATTCCAAAAATGGTTGCTTATTTCTTTTTGGAACCATTTTGAACACTTCTGACATTTAGATGTGACAACAGATATTTTATGTGGTTTCGTTGGCTTAATTATTTAAGTTGACATGGTACGGCCCTTGGACATTAGTAAGGGTCAAATATTGATGATCAAAAAAAGGAAGTGCACCATAGGGTTCAAGTCTCTCTTGGTTTGTAGATGAATCTTTGCTGGGAGATTCAAAGAGATTCTAGGTCTAGGTCTAGGTTTTGCTTATTGTAATTGGTTAGCCAATGAGGTTATAATTGTGACAGTAGCGTTGTGAGTTTCCTGAACCCAATGTTTTTCCTATATTGACTTGCCAAGATACTTGGATTGTGGAAACGATGCAAGTAAAATGACTATTAGGTTGCCAAGGAGGATACATAAGTTGATATTATTTTGTGAAAAGACATTTTGCTTAAACTAAATCATAGTCTCGTAACAATAACAGTGCTGAAGCTGAATACCAGGAAACCAGATATTGCATATACAGAAAGAATGTTAGCACATGGCCCTTAAGATGCTGGAAAATCAATTGTGATTCCAAACTGTATTGCTATGGCACTCAAGATGATGATCAAGGTTTATTCCCTAGTGTTTATTATGTTGGTGCCGAAAATTGGTTATCCGCATTGTTGCTCCCAGACTTTGCAAATTGCCCTTGGTTTGGGTGGTTGGGCAAATTGGTTCATAGTTAAGCTTGTGATAAAAAAGCAGTAGTGACTATTTCAAAATGATCAATGTAGGCCATATGGTGGTATGGTATGAGTTCATGACCTGTGCATAAGCCATTTCATTTTATGAAAGACTGAACTGAAAGGATTTGGGGTGTTTGAAAATAAAAATAAAAAAAATAAAAAAATAAAAAATAAAATAAATAAAATAAAAAAGAAAGGATTTGGGGTGTTTGATCTAGTACAATCAGAGTGAACCGAGAATGTAAGAATTATGATGAGTCTGTTGCTGCTGTTTTGTGGCATCCTCATTGTGAATTGAGAATTTTAGAACTATTCAAGTAAACCACTCTAAGTGGTTGAGATCAATACTTTGTTTGGTGGAACTAACTGTCTGCTGTTGCTTGGTGTTTCCCTTTTGGTTGGTGGATGGGGTCAATAGCACTTGGCTATATTTCATGCATAAATTGTGGATAAGATGCTCTTGAATCTGTTAACATGGCCCCATATCTCCTAGGTGGGACTCTAGAAGGCAAATGTGAGGTCAATACAGCCAGATTTATTTTGTTATATTGTAATATTTTGTTTTATGTAATAAATTGTAATATTTTGTTTTATGTAATAAATTGTAATATTTTGTTTTATGTTTGTTTGTCTGTTTCCAATTTATTTTGTTGAGTTGGTTATTCAGTTTTTCGAATAAAAACATGGTGACGATTTTATTTTTGCCCATATAGAAAACAAAAAACACATTTGGTGCACTTTTTTTTTTTTGTCTAGTTTAATAGTGCTAATGAATTGGAAGGTATTGTTGGCTTACATTCACTAGAAGATAGTGCATAGAGATACTTTCTAGAAACAAGGAGCCTTGCACTTTCATCGTTGCAATAATGAGGCCATTCAGGAAAATATACAGCATAAATATTGTTTTGAAAAAGAAGTGCAGATAAGTAGTGGTAATCAAAATTTCAGGCAGATAAAAAAAAGACGACAGGAGTAAGTTTCATGTGCCATTAAATAAGACCGACAAGGAATAAAGTAACTATTGTTAAACATTTTCATGTGATTCATAGATAGAAAAATGTTCTTATTAGTTGTTTAAAGCTAAACAAGTGTGTTTTACTCAATGTTATTTTTCTCAGAAATCTTGTGGTTTAAGAAAGATTATGACCTTGAAAAAGGTGAACGGTGGAAAAGGATTTATGTGGCTAACTGGCTTTATTGAGTGGAGTTGAATTGGGCTTAAGATCTCCCAATATTACTTTGAAGCCCTTTCCTAGTGATATGAAAATTTTCAAGGTTTTGCAATGTTTTGATATCCTTCGTAGGGGAGCCAAGAGTGGAATGGGTCTGGATTGATGTACTTGCAAAATACTGGGCAAGAATTTCATGTTTCAATCGTGCATTTATCAAAAAGAAATGCTATTGTTGTGGACTGTGATATATGAGCGTGTCCAACTCATCAACAACTCTGCATACCCATATATCTCTCCCAAATGTAAATTACTGGGACAACTTAAACAAGTCCTAACCAGCCCTAGTCCATTTCAGTTTTCTGCTCAGCCTTTTTGGGGCCAATGAGTTTACCTGTGCCCCAAAAAAATACAGCTCTTGTGGATCTAAAGCCCCCACAAAAGTTTCCTACTTGATGAAAAGCAAATCACATGTTTATTAAAAACAAAAACGAAAAAGTTTCCAGGAATCTTTTTTTTATTTGTTGCTTTGGTTTTCTTCTTCTTTGATCGTATACCTTAAGTTTTTCTTCTTCCTCTCCTCTTTAAACTGTGGAAAAGGTAAGATGCTAAACATTTCTCCGCTCCGCTTATATTCCACCAAGCTAAGGGTAATGTTTATGACAGCAGGTACCCTGCCTGTAACCATAATGCTTATTCTTGCTATGGCTCAATATGGCCCGTTCCTGCTGGACTTGTGATATTCCCATCACATGACCGATCTTGGGTCTAGGCTACAATGGGGCATGCTAGTGACAACTGAATTGCTAGAGTAATTGATATGACAATGTTGCCATTGTTGATTGCCAGCTGCACGTGAGCTACGTTTAGTGGCATACATGCATTCAGAAAGGATCCATTTGCTCACTTCTATTTCGTTGGACTGCAATTAATTCACATCATTATATTGTTTGATCGAATTGACATCAACAGGCTTCAGCATTTCATAGTCTCTTGTTTTATCTCATGTTACATGGTTCATGTATTCCTTTGAAATCATTACAAGGATTTGTATTTTTTCAGCTTTTTTGCTTAAGAAGAATCTTATTTTATTCTGCTTATGCAGATCTGCTTCATGTTTTGTCTAATATGTCCAGAAACCTCAATTTCATTGAACACACCCAGATTTCTGGGTGGAAACTGTAAGTAAGAATGTTACATTTGGCTCTAGTACAGTTGACCCCTTTTAATTTTATATGAAAAGCCTACTGTCTTATAACCCTCTTACATATTTGCAGAAATCACAGAGCAAAGCCAATCATTGTTGATCCAGGTCTGTACTTGTCCAAGAAATCTGACCTTGCATCGACTTCTCAGCGTCGATCTCTTCCCACGTCCTTTAAAGTGTTTACTGGTAAGTTGACTTAACCCAACAATTTTGTCTAACCATGGACTACAATTTTAATGCACATATGGGTTGTCTGCCAATTGTCTTTCTCTCAATGAACTTTTGTGAATAAGAATACTTTCAAATCATAGAATTGTAAATGAAGTTTAAAACTAATCAAAGTGTTCATCAGGTTCAAATGCTAAATTGGAGTGTTGTAATTTTGACTGCAATGTTGTTGAGGATCAGTGGGAAATTTGTCTTGTTCTGGAATTGTTCCTTTTCAAACCTTTTTTTTTTTAACTGGAAAAGGGCTCGTTGGCTCCTCCTTACTTTTCCATGGCATAGCCTTAGTTGTTTAATTCATTACACGTCCTACTAATCGCTGTTTTATATTGCGTGAAGTTAAAGTGATCACTATTTTTCTAATTGATTTTTATGTATTGTACATGAACAATGGGTGACCGTGTTTGTTCTTTACATTGTAATATATTTGAATCCAGCGAGTGTTGTGCTGGCATGTGCTTGTTGAAATGAAGCAATTCTGATTTCCAGTTAATTTCTGTCCCGTAAGTTTAGCAGCTTTACTAGATGTTTAATTAGCTTGACAGCTCACTTGAAAAAATTATGTTCTTTCAGTAGGCTCAAGCATAGAATTCTCTTGTTTTATGGTTTTGATTGTTCTTATGCACAAGCACAAAGTCAATATTTAGGAGTCCCGAAGCATGACATGAAATAGATGATGCCCATTCATGAATTGCACATTTGAATACAGAATTGCTTCCTATGCAGGGTCAGCATGGGTGATGCTAACCCGGTCCTTCGTGGAATACTGTATATGGGGATGGGATAACCTTCCACGAACTATTCTTATGTATTATACAAATTTCCTCTCCTCTCCAGAAGGCTATTTTCACACTGTCATTTGCAACACGGAAGAGTTCCGTAACACTGCCATAAGCCATGATCTGCACTACATTGCTTGGGACAATCCTCCGAAGCAGCATCCTCTTTCGTTGTCAATCAAGGACTTTGATCAAATGGTCAACAGCAGTGCCCCATTTGCTCGAAAATTTCACAAGGATGACCAAGTTTTGGACAAGATTGACAAAGAATTGCTAGACCGCACAAATCGGTTTGCACCTGGGGCATGGTGTATTGGAAGTTCAGATGGTGGGGCTGACCCCTGCGCCTTGCGTGGTGATGAGTCAGTGTTTAGACCCGGTCCTGGTGCCAAGAGGTTGCAAGATCTATTTTCGAAACTGTTGTCTGAAGATTTTCGTGCCAAGCAGTGTTTGGCTAAAGGGTGAGACTCAAAATTTCTTCCCACCTTTGGCCATTGTCTTTTGGAGCTCAGATGGTGATGCAATCTGTATAGTTCAGCCATCTGGTTTTATGATGCCGTTCACGGAGCTGTTTCCAGTTTCTTTTGAAGAAAATAGTTTTCCTCTCTCAAAGAAGGGAGTTGGGTAACCCAAATGTACATTGTGTATCCGTATATTGCAATGTTGATGTAAAATTTTGAAATTTTGTGCTTAATTATGTGAAATTACAAGTTGTTAATTGTTCTTTCTACAGCTTGTTTTGAAAATTTCTTTTTGCTAGGTTTGTAGGGTCCAAGCATTTCCAACTCCACCACCACCGGCCCTTGGGGTTTGACACCCCTGACCTTTCCCATACAGAAGGCCAGCTCGTATCACTTGGGTTAACCAAGCCCTGGTATTCTTTGGTTCACTCAATACGACACGAAATACACATGAAGTTACTTCGTGTGTTTTAATCTTAACAGGGTTGGATTATAACCAAGTCGATTAACCAAGTTGATTTGCAATACCCGCATAATAAATGGGTTGATCCAATCCTGTTCGACATGGATCCGACAGATTGCTAAGTATAGACTATAATCCAGTCCTGTCCATGTCGGAGATTAAGAATGGGACTATAATCCAATCAAGTTTTTATCTTCAAGTTTGCTAAGAATTCACCCGTGTGAATGTAATACACATCAAGAGCACCAAGTTAAATGCATTGTATCAGTTAGAACATGGGAATGACCGTGTCTTATGTCCTAAAACACACAAACACACGTCTGTAAAAGTGGATGTATACACACGCACGAGAGAGAGAGAGTGAGAGAGAGAGAGAATTGGAAAGCTCAACAGGTTTGAGCTGGTTAACATTTGTTATTAGATATTTTGTACAATCCTGCCTTAGTCAGATTCAGCAGAGATTAATTTCATGTATTTTTCAGTTATCATCTCTGGTGAAAAATCAGTGAAGTAACCCTTCTCCACATCCAGGCCTTCTTGCTCAGCCAGCATTTCAACCCGGCTCTGGACCCGGTCCGCGCCAATTTGGTTAGGCTCCAACAGCATGCAAGCTATTTCGGTCGAGTCCTCACCATGAACCAGGCCCAGTGTTTGCACAGTAGGCAGCCCACCACCTCGAGCACTTACCAACAATGCAATCCGTCGAGCAGCCGAGACATCTATGGAAATGATTGGAACGTTGTATGTTGCGACCCATGGACGTGCACCAATCATCGCAATACCTCTGGCACGAGACACCGTGTTGGGGCCTTCATCGGGATTTTCAGCAAGAACTTCAGGCTGGGCCCATCCGGCCCATTGATTACCCATGAAGTTTGGCCGGTAGTAGCCCAGCTCACGTCGGATGGTCTCCAAAGCCTTCCCGGTTGGGTGTGCTGCAGCATATAGAAATACTGGTACTGCATTGAATCAAAAAAAGCAAGACAATAATTTCATATAAGTAATAAAGATAAGAAAACATAGAACTAAAAAGAACACTGCAAATCAAGGACAGTATGGACATGATTGTTTTTCCCCTATACATTTGCATATAGGGAAACTCTACGATACCGAAAAAAAAATTTTGTACCGCTACCGCCGGTTACTACTTCGAATGAAAAATTTACAATTTTGAAAAGAGAAATTACAACTACTCAAAGAAGGTTATTATCGATCATAGACACCCATGATTAATTATAAAAAATATAGTATCAATCCCAACATTCCATGATTAATCATGTCCTTTAAAATTGTAACTTACACTTCAAAAAAATTATTAATTTTGGTACCAGTATTGCCGGCGATACTATTGAAGTTCCCTTACATATATAACGAATAGTGGAAATTAAGGCACTAATCAGTATCCTATAACAAAACACTGGATGATATTGACAAGAACATTCTAATGTGTATTGAAATTCTGATGATGCCTTTCTCATACACGAGAATTTCGATATGCATTACCATACACACCTTGGAATCGGTTGCCAATATCTGCTGCCACAGTTTTGGCGAGCCAAGCTGCTTCCTCCAGTGATGCTCGTGCCAAGGGATGGAAAACAATGTCATCTACAACACCAAGCCGGGGGTGTGCCCCCGAGTGCAACTCAAGGTTTATGGCTTCATAAGCGGCTTCGGCCATTGCTAGCACAGTTTGTTGCAAAGGGCTATAAATGGGACACCCTGTGCCATCATGAGCAACATATGATACAAGAGTGTACCTGACCCGGTTGTAGGCACGATCCTCAAACTTGTTTACAGTAACTGTTTCTGGATCAAGCTTAGCTGCACGTTCGATTGAATCAAGAGCTTCTTTGTTTCGTGATTCAGAGATATAGAGTTTGCAGCATAGTAGCATGGATAGCTTCATCGTTTTCTTCTTGTCCTGATATAAACAGGGAATAGAGTACATAGAAGACGCAAGAGTATAAAAATGCATTTCTACTAGCTACAACGTGTGCACATATCAAAAGTGATCCCAAAGAGGACTACCACAAGCCTGATGATTGTTTGAAATGTCGAGTTAAAGTTTTATTTTTCTGTTGGAAAGTGCAAGATTTCATACTCAAATTAATAGCAGATCAACACACTAGGATCCCACCACTGTCAGTTAAGAGGAGTAGGAGGTGTTTGAGTGGGGATTAGAGGGCCAGAAGGACCTTAGTTTGATGAGTCAAAGTTCAAAGTTATTAGTATAATCTTTCTAATTGTAAACCAAGAATATTTCAATCCTACCATTCCCACCCCAATAATCTAATGTTCGACTATGCCCAGCATAGAAAGTTATCTTTTTAAATTTTAAATCACTAACAAATAGTGATCTACTACAATGTACTTTCAAATAACGGTTGTTAGTTGTACCGTAAAATATCATTGCAACAGACGTTACAACTATTAATGCTTGATCATAGCATTTTAAGGTCGATCAAAGAGTAGAGTTATAACTTTGAATGCTGCCCACGGCAACCCTCATTGATAGGGGTGTTTAAATTTTTGATTAGTCACAATTTCCTACCTTACCTGATCCTATTCAACGGCTAGCTGAAAAAATCAAGTAAAAATGTGGAATAACCATTAATTTCTGTATTCTTATCCTACCCTACTCACATTAATTATTTATATATATATAGATAAACTAAAAACCCTAATTCCCTAACCATATGGTTTAAACTTAAAATAATTGTTATTGTATTTGTACAATAATTATGATGAATTGATGTTTATATTTTCTTGTGGTTTATTGTAATTGTTTTAGATTTTAGTGTTACTGGTTTATTGTGTTGTAAAATTAATGCATGTTATCTAATTGAATTGTTAAAATGATCCAAAAATTAATAACTACAAAAGTGTTCACCTGAATTCCTATTTGATTAATTTGGCCAAAAATCGGGTAAGAATATCACACTTGATCGGGTAGGATAGGTCAAGAAAAAATTCTTCTGCAAAGTATTGGATAAAAAGACGAAAGATCATATTTCCTACCTGTAGAGTAGAGTGAACACCCCTACTTATTGATGCATAATGGTTAATGAATAGTAAATATTCAATGCCGTAGTGACTCCACGTTGTTAATATCACGTGGTATTACCATCCAATAGAAACACAATTAAGTGGATAAAGTAGATCCCACTTTTTTACATGGGGTGATTATCAAATGACATGAACGGGTGATTACTAAATGTGTGGGATCCATTTGTTCATTTGTTATATTTCTATTGAACGGTCACACCACATGATATTAACGATGTAGTGTTAGCGTTACATTGAATATTTTCTCATTGACTTCTTATTCGAGCTGGTGTAGGCCCACTGGATTCACAAATAGGCCCAGTCTGAAGCACCACATATAGATCAGGCCCGTCAGGGGATATGTGAAATCACGAGTCCTACAGACAAATTACAACCGACCATTCTGTGGACAAGTGTAAATATGTTAATCTATGCAAGTTCCAAGTTACTGTGCTTTTTATACTTTTATTCTATCTCAATTCTAACTTATTTCTAGATTTAAGGTTATTTTACACAAAAGTATTGAGTTTAAGCTACGCTTTTCAGTGTAAAAACTTATTTGCAAGATATGCGTTTGAAATTTTGTATTAAAAACGTAGTTTGTAAATACGATTTTAAATATGGGTTACATTCACATTTTCATAAAAATAACTGTAGAATAGAAAATAAATTAAAATCAAGGGTTAAATGCAAAAACCCCCCATTGTGGCTGGACAGAGCACCATTGGGGTGGTGGGTGCAAATGTAGTGGAGTACCATGGGCGGTTGTTTTGAGATGGGTTGCCATCCATGTTCAGGTTAGGGTTTTGTTTTGGTGAGTGGATTTTGATTGGGGTGTTGGGCAGTGGAGTGAAGAGAGAGAGATGACTGATGATGGTGGACTGATCGCCGGTGATGATGGGAAAGAGAGAAACACAACAAAAGGGAAAGGGAGAGGGGAAGGGGATATTTTTGGATAAAAAATTTGACAAATTTGGCCACCCAGTCGCTATTTTGGCCGCATGTGTGTAATGTTTCGTTAAATATGCGACGCCTGTCTTGTTTTGAATAAAAAATTGTAGTTTAAGCACGTCTAGTGCAACAATTTAACGTTGAGGGAGGTTGTCTGCCAAACCCTTGTAAGTACAAGGGTGTTTTTTTGCATTTAACCCTAAAATCAACAGTACAGATATAGAACAAAGTTGGAAGAACTTGAATGGGGTAGAAATCAGATAAGCATTTCTTTTTTGGTAGTAGAATACCCCAAGTTGCAATTCACAATCTCAAAAGGAGGGGAAACAAGAATAAAAATATAAAGATAAGAAGAAAAAGTTTGGAGTGCTTTTTAAGGGAAGAAAAAAGCAAATCAAACCCACATGCAAACTTGATCCCTGTATGTAATGATAAGCTTCATCATACAAAACATGGGTGGGCAAATCACAGAAAGTCTGGTTCTTGATGGAAACAAGTGATTATGAAACTATTTTTCGGATACATTCAACTTGCAGACTAATAATCCAATAAAACATGATGGGTACACTGAATTTGCTCAAAAAATTGTGGGTGTGGGTTGTTGCCAGAGAGAGAGAGAGAGAGAGAGATCATAATGGGTGAGTTCTTACCTTGCAAGTTGGGTTGAACTCCATGTTTTCCCTCTGCTTCTGTTCAGCTCTCCTGCTTTGCCTTTGTTTGATGAAGAACTGAAAGATATATAGAGGTATATACAAGCAAATTTGAAGTGCTTGAGCATGCTTTCGAGTCAGCAATTGTACACCACCGTCCTCCACAACCTGAACGTGTCACCCTCAATTATAATAAATTACTCCTACTACCTTAAAATAATTGTAGTCCTACAGATGCATGTAGCAATAGCAATGGCAGTACAAAGCTGAACTCTCTCTCTCTTATGTATATATGGATAGCACTATGGTTAGAAAATTTTTTTGTACCATACTTTTGAGTATTTCATCTTTCTTTTAGTTTTCTTTTGACCATTGATTATGAAAATATTAAATTAAAGTGAAATAATAAGATCAGTAATTTTTAAGAGTGTAAAATTTTTATTATAAGGGGAAAAAAATATCATTTTTCGGTATCATAGTTGAACCCCTCTCTCTATATATATATCCAAACAGATAAGGCTATAGTTTATGAGGAATACCAATCATATGGGTGGTTTCACTGTCATAATAAATAAGCAGGACCGGTTTTGTTTGCGACAGATGAGGATGGAGTTTAATGTGGGATAGGGGCAATCCATGGGTTTCAGATTGTTGATAGCAAGAAATACAATTAATAAAAGGGTGGGTGAGCTTTTCAACCTAACATCCGTCCTCAACCTAAAATCTATGGCACAAGGGAGAGGGATGGTGTGAACCACAAATTAAGACATTTGTCCTGGCATGACAAGTATATACTTTCTAACCAATTTATTTATTTATTTATTTATTTTTGTTCTTTCTATCTTTTTTGACAGAAAACAATTATTAGTAGTCAGGTTAGCTTGTTTTTTTCTTTTTTGGATTTATTATATGTGCAATGTATACTACTCCTTACGAAAGAAAGGATGGGAACCACTATAGAGTTGGTGAGACTCAGATGATGATTCATGCCTTGTTGTAAATCAAAAAACCAATATCTGTGAAAGTGAATTACGATGTAGAATTTGATATTCTCTATTTTATTCGACTCATCGCTTTGTCAGTCTAAATTACTTTGTTGATTAGCTAAACTCTACTACAGAGAACATTGTCAATTATTAGTAGTCTTTCCCTCAAACAATTTAATCCATAGGAGTAGCATCTCCAACAACCCACAGTCTGTAAAAAGATAGTTTTGGTGTGTTTTTCTAATAATATAGTAACAATAGGCCCTCATTCTCCCTCACCAGATAGGATTGTTAGGGATATTTTGGCCTCAATTGCAGTTTATAGGAGCATAATGAATGCCTGCCCTCAATTCCTATTTCTAGAAAACATTCTCACAGTTTCTTTATCTATTTTGGGTGACTGCAAACTATCTCAATCCTTTGCCTTGAAGCTCAACCACAATTTTTTGATGTGCAATCACCCTCTAATCACGTGCACGATTCATTTTCTTCATTTATGTTGATCTCAAGAGTATAACCTTATAGACATTCAAATCCTCCCTTGAATGAAGCCAATGAGGATCCGAAAACAAGTACGGTGGTCAAGTTTTATTAATTCACTCGAAATTAGAAGCATCAATCCTGCATCTAGTTGTATGAACAGGCCTGACTAATGGAAAAATACCCTTCAGCTGATGATTAACGCATGAAAACAGCCATGTCTTATTCTATAAGTACAATAACTAGAATTACAAAGCTAAACCTAGTAGCTTGTCCAGTTTTCCTACCCACCCTGATAACCCAACTTTAAGTACCTTTCTATTATTTTTTCCTGTGAAAGATCTGTGTAATATCCCTTCCCCACAACCAAGCCTTCTTCCCCAGCAAGCCGCTCCACTTCAAGCTGAACTTGTTCACCACCAACTCTGTTCGGATCCAACAAGTTACAAGCTACCTCAATGACACTTTCACCATGAGCAAGTGCCATGGATTGCACTGATGGAAGTCCGCCTCCTCTCCCACTTACCCTCTTAGCAATTTGACGAACAGTAGCAAAATCAGTAGAGAAGATTGGGATGTTGTAGTTATCAACCCATCGGGTTGCTCCAATTACAACAACACCTTTTGCTTGAACTGCATGAGCTGGACCTTTATCTGGTTTTAGGGGCAAAAATTTGGATTTTGGCCCACCTGCCCACTGATTTCCACTGAAATTGGGCTTGAAATATCCCAGCTCCCTTCTCATGGCATCGAGCGACCTTCCCTCTTCATCTGCTGCTCCATATAAAAAGGTGGGGACTGCAGGCTATACTTAAGATCATTAACAATGCTAAAATATGCAGAATTGCAATACAAAATGAGTAATAATCAACATTTCTACTTAGATATCATATAAGAGATATATTCCAGTATTCATTTGTGCATGAAATTTTCAACAGAAAAGGGAAACGATATATTAAAGTCACCCTTGAGAGAAAACCAAGAATAGCAGAAAAAAAATCAAGAAAGGAAAACAGCAGTAATACGGCTTGTTGCCCTCTGCCTACATTTGGCATATGAGACCAATCAGGAATTCTCTTCTGATGAATAATTCACTTGATGACCTAATATCAAATGCTACTTACTAATCAGCCAAAAGAATCCACACAATTAATTTCTTGTTCATTATCTTTTTAGGCATGCTTTACTTTTTTTTTAACAACTAGCTACAAATTTATGCAACCACAAGTGAACAAACCTTGAAGGTTTGAGCCAATATCAGCAGCCAGAGATTGTGCACTCCCAGCAACCTGGTCCAAAGAAGTGCTAGCTAAAGGGTGAAGACAGATGTGGTCCACAACACCAAGCCGAGGATGGCTTCCACAGTGTAACTCCAGGTCAATGGCTTCCAAAGCCGCTTTCACCATGGCAAACACGGCACTTTTCAACGAACACGCGTCTGATGATGGCTTTGGATCCAACTTTGAGACAACGGTGTAACCAACTCTATTGTAAGTCTCATCTTCAAATTTATTGATAATGGCAGCTCCTGGGAATAATGTAGCAGCTCGTTCAATTGACTCCAATGCTGCCCTGTTTCGGCTTTCAGATATGTAAACCTTGCAGCAAGCCAGCATCAACTTTAACATTTTTTCTCTTCCCCCCACCCTTCACCAACTGCAGAAGAGCATAAAAAGAATATTAATTGACACCACAAAAAACTTTGTGGCCACAGTGTCCATGGACCACACAATTTTGAACCTGTAAACTTTAATCAAATAACGAAGAGCAAAAGGAGAAAGAGAAAATATTATTATTGTTGTAATTCTGCTTAACTTAGAATATACAATGTAGACCCTATATAGTAGGGCAACAAAACAATATAAAATGCCTAAACTACCTATAATATAAATACTCTAACATCTCCCCTCAAACTTATGATGCGGTAATATCAAACATCAAGAGTGGCTAAGAAGAAAACGGAAACGTACGATGGTGTGAGATTTCGTAAATAAACAATCAGCAAGTAGCCAACGCAACCAAACTATCTTTGCTATTGTGAAGGTCATAGCATGATACTCAGCTTCGACAAATGATCGAGCCACAACAGTTTGTTTTTTACTTTTCCAAGAAATAAGAGAATCACCAAGGAAGAGACAGAAACCAGTAGTGTACTTGCGATCCATAGAGTCACTAGCTTAGTTCACATTAGGGGTGCAACTCGGGCGGGTTAGATAGTCAATCCTAGCCCAACCCTAGGTATATAATCTTCAACCCTAACCCTATCTCGAGTTGAAAAACTCAACCCAAGCACTGCCCGAGTTTAATTCGGGCGGGTTCGGGTTGAATTCGGGTTAATGATTTCGGGCTGGTTTCGAGTTGATTTTTGGTTATTTTACGGGTTGAGTTCGGGTAGAGCCCAAAATAGGCTTATTGTTTTAAACCTAATACATATATTATATAATATTCACCTAAATTAACAACCAATAACTTCAACCAAGTTTTTAACAGTGCTAATACTAAAACAAAAATGAAAATGAAAGAGCGAGACAGAGAATGATAGAACAAAAATAAAAAACCAGTACTAATGCTTTATATATATATAATTTTTTTTTAAATTTGTCGGGTTCGAGTTGAACCCGTGAACCCGAGCCGAGCCGAGCCCAACCCAAATTGAATTCGGGTTAGAATTTTTTGACCCAAACTCATCCCAAGTATTAAAAACCCTTACCCAAGCCTTAATTTTTTCGAGTTGAAATCGGGTTGTCCAACTCAAGTTGTACCCCTAGTCCACATCAGAGTAAGCACGAAGTTCCGGAGACTTAGAGGAAGAAAATAATAAACTCAACAAAAACTCCAAGTGTAGACTCAACAAATTAAGGCCCAAATAGCAATGAGGGGTCCAACAAAAAACCAAAGCTTAACAAAAACCACCGGCAACAATGTCCAATAAAACAAAGCCCAACAAAGAAAAGAAGAAAAGTCAAACTAGCTGCCCAACAGAAAGAAGCCCAAATCAACAAACGCAAAGGATTGTGGTTGCCCAACAAAAACCACCAGTAACAATGTCCAACAAAACAAAGCCCAACAAAGAAAAGAAGAAAAACCAAACCAGTAGTCCAACAGAGAGAAGTCCAAATCAGCACCAGCCCAAATTAACAAACCCAAAGGATTGGGGTTGCCCAACCAAAACCACTAGCAACAATGCCCAACAAAATGAAAAAGAAAAGTCAAACCAGCAGCCCAACAGAGAGAAGTTTAAATCAGCACCAGCCCAAATCAACAAACTCAAGGGATTGGGATAGCCCAACAAAAACCACCAGCAATAATGCCCAACAAAGGAAAGAAGAAAAGTCAAACCAGCAGCTCAATAGAGAGAAGGTCAAATCAGCACTAGCCCAAATCAAATAGCCGAAAACTCAATAGTCCAAAATAGGTGCAAATTCAAAGTTCTGTTCTCCAGCTCACAACAAGACCCAAAGAGAATACCAACGAAGCCAAGAGCAGAAACTAGAACCAAAAGAAGCAGCCAACGTCAAACAATTCAAAGTTCACCACAAATCAACTCGACAGCTTTACAAATCAAATACCCATAACAAATTGAGGTTTCTTACACAACAAAAATGATACTAAAAATCGAGTTTGACATTGTTCACAGCATGAACAGTAACTTTGGTACTGTTTGCATCTCGTGAACAGTATTTTTGGCACTGTTCACCTAGTGAATAGTATTTTTGGCACTGTTCACAGCCCATAGAACGACAAAAAGTCAGCAACCCACCAATCACAAGCCCTCATATCACACAACCTAGCACCAAGAACCTTTATTCGCACTACGTAGGCTTGATATGAAGTAAAGAAATCGAAAAAAATAAGACACTAGATGTCGGTACTAATTCAAGAATATATTTTTTCTCCAACTAAATTATTATGGTGCTACAATATATTTTGGATCGAAACCATGCTCTGATACCATATAAACTTTGATCAAATAAAGAAGAGCGAAAGGAGAATGAGAAAATATTATTAACAAAACTTGGATCAAATAAATAAGAGCGAAAGGAGAAAGAGAAAATATTATTATTGCGAAACAAGTTTGTAATACTGCTTAACGTAGAATACACAATATAGACCCTTATATAGTAGGACAACAAAACAATATAAAATGCCTAAACTATCCAGAATATAAATACTCTAACAGAACCAACCTAATTGGGCCAACAAGAAGAGTAAAAATTTTAAGAAAAATGAAAACAAAATAATCGGTCTAAAGTAGAATTCNATCCAGAATATAAATACTCTAACAGAACCAACCTAATTGGGCCAACAAGAAGAGTAAAAATTTTAAGAAAAATGAAAACAAAATAATCGGTCTAAAGTAGAATTCAAGCTCGAAAGTAGCCAAAAAGAACTTGAATCATGTAAACATATATGATTGACAGAGAANGAGTAAAAATTTTAAGAAAAATGAAAACAAAATAATCGGTCTAAAGTAGAATTCAAGCTCGAAAGTAGCCAAAAAGAACTTGAATCATGTAAACATATATGATTGACACCAGTGGTCCAGTGGAGCCTTCACTGGGAGAGCTGAGGTGCACCAACTCGGAAATTGCCCTTTTCACAAATTGATGCGATATTGTTTTGTTCATTCAAAAGACCAAGGAAACGCAAGAAAGTAAAACTTGGAATTTGCTGTTTTAATGTTCTGTTGATTTTTAAAGGTAAAAATCCCACTTTTATCCAAAAAAGTTGTAGTCAACCTAATTGAGCAAATCTCATCCAGTTTTTTTTTTTTTTCCTGAAACGTCTACAGTTTAGAATTTCAACTTATTTTTCTGCTTTTTACCAAGAACAACAAAATGTACCTAGAATTTTGCTACTTCTTAGTAAAGAAACGACAATCCAATGAATACAAACTAGAATAGCTTAACAACAGCACTGGATTGATATTCAGAAAGAGGAAATGCAGAATCTCATTGTCTTATATGTAGGTATAGTCTATGGATCAATCATATATAATTGAGACAAAAAATCCAACCTTTAATTCATCTACTGGACAAGCCGAAGCAATCATAACCCAGAAACAATTAAGCATTAAATGTTAGACCGAATAAGCATACAAAATTTTCATATATTTATTTGATAAGAACATTGGCAATACGGCTAGTATGATGAGCTGATGAAGTCTACCTCAATCTCATAAGTTCACAGCCTTCATTGATGGAATCCCTGCAATGGGTTTGTTGTTAATCCAGAAGTTTTGCTAAGTTGGTGAGCAACCATGAACATGAGGTTGGAGAGAGGCAGATGGGGCACTGTTGTTGAAAGAGAACAACAACGCGATGGTCGTTCGCGATAAAGCGGGGCCCATCTATTCGACTTAGTGTTTTAGAGCTTAAACGTGGGCCGTGAGCCCGTCGTATCAGAAAGAAAGTAGTCCACGCATAGTGAGCTACTAATTTTAATTTTTGATAATGGCAGGTTGGTATTTTTTTAAAACTTATTTGGTTTTAACTTTCGCTTCTAAATTTTTTTTTTTTATCAAATAGTTATCAATAAGTATACATTTTAAAATATTTTTAATTTTTTTTAAAAATGTATTTCATAATTACACTTATCATAAATAGTGTATACGTAATTAACAATTTTTATATTTCTAATATCTAAATATTAAAATGTAAGACTTTCAATATTTCTTTAATATTTGTGTATTATTTGAATCTTGAAATTTCAAACAAAATTTATATTTAATTACACACACACACACACATATATATGTATATAGCAATATTAAACAGTAACACGCTCAACAAAAAAATAATAGTATTAAATAGTAACATGCGTAACAAAAAAAATAATAACATCAAATAATAACATGTTCAACAATTGGGTTAAGTGCTCCTCAAAAGATTTATAATGAGTTTAATTCGTCAAAGACATTTATTTTGGGATAAATTTGTTTATAATCTTACTAATAAATAGTTAAGTTCACTATTTTTTTAAAACTTTAAAATATCTTTCATTAAAAGCAACTTTAAATTAGTTTTCTAACTTGACAATTATTATCCCTTAATTCACTATCAACGAAGTTATGCCAATAATTTTTTTTACATAAATTTTGAAATTCAAATTTAAAGAACAATTAATATTATATATATTACCATGTCACTATTCATATTACTGTTTTTATGAACGTGTTACTATTTTGTTGAATAAGTTATTACTGTTATTTTTTTAAATATTAATATTCAATTTTATTATTTTTTTGTTTTTGAATATTATTATTTTTGTGTGTTTAAATTATAATTCTTTTTTGTGTTAAAATAGTATTATTTTTTTTATGTTTAAATGATACTATTTTTTATGTTTAAATGTTATTATTATTTTTTAATGTTACTATGTGTGTGTCTATATATATATATATATATATATATGAGAGAGAGAGAAATAAATAATCAAAATCTATATGTGGACTAGTTACTTATCCCTTCACGCCACCGTCTCAACTAAAGTTTTATACATATAAATTGTAAGTCCTTTTCATACAAGAGGGGTATCTCTCTACACACCTTACACAACTATCACTCTCATAACTATCAAAAGCATAACATTGCTTTCTCTCTCACCTATTACATCATCAATAAGACCA